TGTCATTAATTTCCAATTTTATTGCACTATAGCCAGATAATATTCATGGGATAGTTTCAATTTCTTTGCATGTACTAAAGCATGTTCTATGGACTAGTATAATGTCTATTTTAGAAAGCATCCAATGTACATCTGAGAAGAATGTGTATTCTGATATTGTTTGGGGAACACCCAGAGTAAAGACTTTTTAAAAGGGCTGGGGATGTAGCTCCATGTATAGGGCCTACGTTCAATCTCTAGTACAGGAAAAAATGTGATCATTAGCCTTATTTGATCCTAATTAGAGCAAATTGTGCAAAAACCCCACATGAGACAATGGGGAAAATGTTAACATTTACTAGATATTTAATAATGTTAAGCAATTATTGTTAATTTTTAAAGTGTAATAATAGAATTGCAGTCTTGTTTTCTGTATGTCTGTATCTTAAGACAGAGACTTATTATGTTACCAAGCCTGGTACCAATCTCCTGGGCCCAACAGATTCACCTGCCTCAGCCTCCTGAGTTGATGAACATAAGTGTGCACCATTATTCCTAGCTTTTTTTTTTTTTTTGTCTTTTTCCTTTTTTTTATCGGTATCAGGGATCGAACTCACGACCACCTGCTTCCAAGGCAGGCGCTTATGCCGCTGAGCTAAATCCCTAGCCCCCTTCCTAGCTTTTTTTAAAAAGTAAAAGTAGTCTTTAGTTTGTAGGTATATATACTGAAAGATGAAATCTGTAAAAGATGAAATTATATGATGTCTGGGATTCGCTTCTAATTGTTTCATTTTGTGGGGAGTAAAGAATGAATGAAGGTATAGATCAAACAAGATTAGCTACATTAATAGAATATAGGGGCACACATCTGTAATCCCAGTTGCTCAGAAGGCTCAGGCAGGAGGAGCTGAAGTTTGGGGATAAGCTAGGCAACTTAGTAAGACCCTGTCTCAAAATAAACAAAATAAAAATGTCTTGAGATATAGCTGTGTTGAGTGCTCGTAGGTTCAATGCCCAGTACCAAAAAAACCGTGGATAATTGTAGAGGCTGGATGATGGCTTCATGGTGCACATTCATTCATTGATTCACGGGAACAGTCTCTCAACTCTCCCATAACGATACATCTTTTTAAATTGTTCATGAAAGTGACAGAAGCTCCTTGTAAGATGAATCTTATCTAGGAATGGTGACTCACAAACATTTTGGCCCTCTTGAATACATTCGCAAGAAAGAATTAATCAAAAGTTTATTGAAGAGGCCGAGGCCAAAAGAAACAGGAAATGAAGCAGGACATATCTGAAAAGAGAATGTTAAGGCTTGGAACATGGACTCCTGCCAGAATGAGAAATCCATTTGTGGCCACTGATAGAAAAGTTTTGAGTATGGTAGCAGCTGGAGAGAGAATATTTAAAAAAAGTAGTTGACTCTCAAGGGACTTAAGCCACATGTTAAGACACTAGTAGGGGTCAGTGGGTTGTGGCTTTGAGGGTAAGACTATAAAACAAACTCATATTTTGATTAGAGCTATCTTTGTCTCTTATATAGTATCTTTAGAAGCATAATGGAGATAAGATGTGTAGAATTCATTCTTAGTTAAGTTCTCAAGTCAAACAACTCATAGGTTTATTTTGAGTTTTTTTCCCTACATTTTGTAAACTACATGTGTTGGGTCAGCTGCTGTTTCTCTATATCTGTTTCTATTATTTCCAAAACAATAAGCAAAGGTACCACTTTATTGATGTTGGGTTTCAGATTCAAAGGGGCCCTTATAGATCATTCACTCTTTTTCCCCCCGTAGGTAAGAAAACTAAAGTTCAGAAAAAGAAAAAAAAAACTTGCTCAGCATCACACAATGCCTAGCACAATACTGGCACATAGTATTCAATACCGCTCAGTAACTGCTAAATTCAGGACTGACACATATATACCAACTAACTGGAGCTTCCATCTCAGCTGATTGGCTGGTGCCCATGTCATATAGTTTTAATGTCACCCCTGCTTGAACAAATGTATAGCAAAATTAGATGACTCCCAATTTATGGATCTTTTCTGTAATTTTAATTCTAGTCTCCATGGGCACCCTAAGTGCAGGCAGTGTCCCACTTGCCTGTGAATTTCACAGCTTATCTAGGTCTCCTCTTGGCTTGAGGCTTGCTAGCTGTCCATTAGCCTCTTTGCTGCTCCCTTTACTGGCTTGTCTTATTTTAGGGTACATAGCAGAACTTATGGCAATCATCACATTATGTGTGTAACTGCACTCCCATCCTGAGAAAAGGGAAAAATGACCTAAGATCTCCTGAACATATTAGATATTTTTTAAGCACAACTGTACTCGCCACTTGTGCAAATATTGATTTGGGTGAATCACAGGGTTCATCCAATGTTATCTATTCCTTTGTTCTTCTCATTCGATTAAAGGTCCTACTCTTTTGGTTACTCGTGGCAGCTACTGCTAAAAGCTATTGAAACATATTTTCTTGATTTTTAAAACATAAATCATCATTTTAGTCTTACTGATGTATGTCAGAATGAATAGTTAATTTAGACCAACCTCATCATTGTACGAGAACACTGACATTCAGAAAGGGACAAAGGACCTGACCATGCTCAAAGAGCTACTGTTCATAAAAAAGATTTGTTTCCAAATAAGTTCCATGATGGTCTTAGTTACTTTTCTCATTGCTGAAGCAAAATACCTTACATCAAAATTTAAAGCTTATAGGTCATAGAGGGTTCAGTCCCTAGTCAGCTGGCTGCAAGGCATGGTAGCACGGCAGAGGAGAAACAGTCTATAGTAGAGCAGGCAGAGAGCAGGAAGCTATAAGGATCCCCTTTGCTTCTCTTTTATTCTATTTAGGGTCCAGGCCTATTGGCTTGAGCTGCCCACATTCAGTGTGGCCTTCCCATTATCCACACCTAGAACTATGCTAACCAAATAGTGGATCCTTAACCCATCCATGACCCAGCCACCTCCCCCAAACCCCTCCTATGAGCACATGAGGCTTTGTGGGGACATCCGGATGTAAGCCATAAAAACAATTCATAGCCACTGTTGAGTTATGTATGGGACAATAAGTGACCACTAACATTTATTTTACAGATGGAGAAATACAGCCAGACAGGAATACCTGCCCAAGTTCTTCAGTAATATCTAAATTCACATCCAGATTTCTTTCTCCTTTACAATGTAAGCCACCTGATATTAATCCAAACTTTATTTACTTCTAAATTCCCATTATCTACCATCTTGCCTGGCACATAGATGAATGAATACACAAATCTTAAAATATTATTAAAAGCTTATTTTAAAATTTAATGATTTAAATTCTTGGCCTTCCAGTTGATAAGCAATTTGAAAATAAAGTGTAATAAGGTGTTTCTATTTTAGACAGCTGTGTCATTGGATAAAAGAATAAATACATCACCAGCTATATTATACAGCTTTAATATCAAGCTGACTTGTATTCCATTTCTGTCTCAGTTATTTACTAGCTGTGTGATTTTGCAATGGAACGCAATCATTTTATATCTTAGTTTCTTTATGTGCAAAATGAGGATAATACAAACTACCCCATGGGACTGACACAGGGAATAAGTGAAATAATGCATGTAATTTGGTACATTGTAGCCACACACAACAATTTTGTCTTTTTATATCATAGTGTACCCAATGCATGTTCGAAATTCACAGTGAAATATTCTCTTGTTGCTAATGGTAAACCAAAAATGTGACCATTGGGAAAGACAGTTAAAGGCCCAAGAACCTTCAGAAAGAAATCGTCTTGGGACTTGATGTCAAAAATATCTACAGCATCCTGATGTCAGTAAAACTCCTCTCTTTGTACAGTAAAAGCATACCAAGATTTAGTTACAGTATTTATAAAAAAGTTATTGCTTGACCTAATCATTAAGGTTGAAAGAAAACTAATAAAGTGCTTTTATTTCCTCACTTTCCTCTACAATTATTAATATCTTAGTAGCATAATATGTTTGTTATTCCTATGATCAGAAAGTTATACTTTTTTTTAAAAGTCAGTGTTTAGGATAATGATAAAATGGTAAACTACTCTGGAACGCAAAAGTGCTTAGATAATTTAACTCCTGGCCTCTACCCTAAGACTAGGTGAGCATGTTTATAGCTACAGAAATTTGGTTTCGATAGACTTCAGATATATGACCATAAGGATCCCCAGTTAAAAGATTTCTGTGGCGGCGACATGTTAAGAATTAGAAAGAGGTTTCTTTTCAGTCTTTTTGAGACAGGGTCTCACTATGCAATTCAAGCTGGCCTTGAACTCACTTTGTAGCCCAGGCTAGGCTCAAACTCATGATGATCCTCTTGTTTCAGCCTCCTAAGTGGGGAACCAGAGGTGTATGTCACCATGCTTGGCTGGAAAGAGGTTTCTTATTTAAACAAACAACTAAAATTACCTGGATATGGGTCTCCAGTATCTTTCCAGATAACTCCAAATAGTGACCAAAATAGCTTGATCAGCACCTGCCATACTCTAGGGTTTGGATTGAGTAGAGACTCAGAGTAATTAACAAATGTGGTTTGGCTATAGATATGCTTGTAGAAATTAATACAAGTGAGAAAAAACTCTGTGATATTCAAATCACATAGAAATTATAGAAAATACAAATTATATCACCATTTAAGAGGACAGCTATTGAAAACCGATACCTAGTCTCAAATCTAACCTAATACGATTAATTTGTAACTAAAGGTCCCCATCACACACACCAGGACAGTCAAGTACACTGTGTATATCATACATATGTCATGCAAACCAGGGCAGCAAGCATACTGAATTCTGTGTTGAGCTTAATTTAAAGAGGATCAGTTCTTCATTGCCATTATTTATTATAGCCAAAATTTATCAAATATGCAAGTACTTTTATGTGCTACTGTAAAGATTGTACTAATATTAAACAAAGTCCATGCATTATTAGAAAACACAAGCATAGCAGAACAGCAGGGCATCTTCTAATAAATGATTATAAAACACCTACCTTGAAATATTTTTAACAACATTTATTAAGTCCAATTTTCTCCACCACCCACTCCTTACAACACTTTCCCCCAAATAAGAACAAAGGAAAACATTTTGGTTACATACAAAAAGACAATTTATATTTATTTTACTCAAGCATTCCTATAAGAAGCAAAACTGACCCTAGTTCAAGACATTACCAAAATGTTAACATCATTTCATATATACCTTGAATGCCCAGATGCAGAAAATCTTTCTGAATAGAAGAGTAAGAATGACAATTCTTATAATGGGTTTTCTTAGGTATATGGGGGGCACCATACAGGTCAGATAAAACAGTAAAAAATGACCCTACTGTTCTCCTATAGGTGATGTATTAATGCCTCCATGAGTTCCTATGACCTGGGCATCACTTTTTAGCAACTTAACAATTGTAGGTACTCTCATAATTTATTGCCCCCTTCTCTCTTAGCTGTCTTACTGCCAGAAGAGGAGGATGGAAATGAAATACAGTTTCCCCACTCATAGGCTGTATGACTGTCACCATCAGTAGTTCCTTGGGAATTTCTAAGCCTCCTCCCCATTGCCATCAAAATAGGCTAAGAGTAGAAATGGCTTTGGTAGAAACATCTCAGTGTTTTGCTTTTTAGAATTATAAAGAAGGAAGCAATATCATTTCTACACAAGAAAGCCAAGTATTCTGTCTAGTAAAGAGTAGAACAAAATGAATACTTATTACACCTGTATCTCACCAAAATCTGACTTGTAAACTAAAAGCACAGTGGGGAAGCACCACCCATTCCAATTTCCTCAACAATGCCATGGCACAGTGCTGCTCTGCCACTATAGAAGCAGGCAGCCATGTTTGTCTAAACCTGTGGAGAGCAGGGGCCTTTTATCGCCCCTGACCTAAGAACAGGAATGGCAAGTAGCAACATTTTATTAATATGAACTGGTAAATGCTTTGAAGAACTTGTGATACAATGTTCTTAAATTTCTACTAGCAATCTGAGTGTGTGTGCGAAAGAGAAGGGGAGATCCCTCTCATTTACTACTTTAAATTTGGAGGAAATAGAAGGAATATATATGCATACATTGTGGGAATGAGGGAGAATGTGAGTATATATGCTGGAGCCCTGACTATCAATATTATAACACATAAAATCTACTAACCATTTGTGGCAGGGAAAAGAGGAACCTGGGCCCATTTTATAGACAGAGAAATGAACACAATTATACATTTTTTCAAGTAAATAGCTAAGTTCTAAGTGAAGATAATATCTCATTGCACTTTAGAAAATGCATAAACATTGAATACTGAAAACCCTCAACAATTGCAGACTCACATGGAAGTTATAAAATATTTAAGAATTAGTCACTGTTTCTCAGTCTATTCACACTGTACCTGAGATGCAAATTCTACTCTGCTCCCTTTGGTGTTCTGAGCAGATTTATTTCCTAATTTCCAATGAAATTCAAAAGATCACAGCGAAAGGAATGAGGAAAAGGAAATAAAGGAATATGGATATGGAAGCAGAGAAGTGGAAAATTCTGAGAAATGACGGGTTGGAAATAAAGGAAGTGATAAGAACTGAGCAGTCCCAACTAGACTGTAAACCCAGTATGAGGTGTGTCCCTCACACTTGGAAATCACACACAAGCCAAACATATAGCCAACACTTGATCTGAGTAACAGAAATAATGAAAAACACATCACTAGAGATACCTTCGCTCAATTTCTAATGGCCAGTGAGTCATTCTGCTCCATTGCATTTAAAAGCGTGCGATGGCATGGAATGGTCTTGGTAAAGAAGCTGCCTCTACTTTTTAAAATTAGATTTAATTGTCATGGCCAACAGTGATTTCTGGGACTTTCAAAGAAGTGGGAAATACTATCACAGCAGATGTTTCCGAGTTTCAGTAGCCACAAACATTGTTCACTGGGATCGCAAACAATAGGTACCAGGCGCTATCAATTTTAGTTGCTAGATATTCTCTGTGAGTCATGTCCAATGTTAGCATTTACATCCAAAATTAAGTTCCCTTACAAATACAATTTCTTGGTGTTATTTGACACAAAGAATATGCATGAAGCACAGATCCCTTAGGAAGCTGTCACAGCTCTCAACGAGATTAAACTCTACTGATATCATCACTTTTGTTTTCTCCCTTAGTTTGAAGAGTTTGCAAAGGATGTCTGCTTTTATAATTCAGTAAGAATGACTCTTTTCTCATCTCCAAAAGGCCCATTATTTTTAGATTTTTGGTGTATGATTCACACGAAAACTTGTGGCTCTTATGAGCTGCCTGTTTTTAAAGGGTCCATTAGTTTCAGTTTCCATTTGATGAGTCCCCAGATAACAAATGGAGAATATGACAAATCTTCACAAGGTTACACTGGAAACAAAAATAAATTATCCCAATCACTGAGAGGCTTTTTTCAGGTTTTCTATCAGCACTACGGAGTCAGTGTCTTCTTTGGATTGTTTCTCACAGATGTCATACTTCTTCCAGTGCTGCAAGAGAGGAAAAAGCACACATGATAATTTTTCTCAGCAATGTTCTTTTCCTGAGTACTCACAGCCAGTGCTTATTTTTAGGTTTGCATGTGTTGGATCATGAGTATATTTTCCTGGTTTTTGTTTCATGATCTAAGAATATTCATTTATTTTAACAACTAATACGACATAACAATCAAAATCAACATTAAAGGTTGGAAAAGCATGGGAATGTTGCATGATGTTTAATGGTCTCAGGAGATAACATAAATTTGGACATTTTCAGAATTGTAAGCAGCCTTTCAAGATGAAAAGAAAGAGTAGCATGCATTTCTTATTTTAACTTTTTTCACTTGAACATTTATTTCTTTTGTTTTCTTACTCAAATTCGACCATTGCTCCAGTGATATAACAAGCATAAAAGTCAATTAACATCTATAATAATGGGAATATGTAGGAATCCCTAAAAGTCTTAGTGCAATTAAAACCTTTGAAAGGTTTTGCATTGGATTTATCTAACATCAATTGCTAGACATTACACATAAGGCAAGTTCATTCTGAACCCAAATCAAGCATGTCTCTTAAAAAGTATCCTGGAACTTGCTTTCTTTACTTGTATATCTGGGGAAAGGGTGAACTCTGAGCTCTATTCTCTGACCTATAAAAATAAAGTTAGACTAAGCCAGAGATGGGCAAACTACTGTCCACAGGCCAATATTGCTAGGTGCCTATTGCAATAAGTAAAGTTTTATTGGGATGCTCTATTTGTTTCTGCACTGCCTACAGCTGTTTTCATGCTATAATAGCAGAGTTGAACTGTAACAGAGACTGAATGGCTTGCAAAACCAAAAATGTTTACTACGAGGCCCTTTACAGAAAAAGTCTGCCAACCCCTGCACTAGGTTATGCCTTAGCTCCTATTTTGTTTTGATATTCTAGATTCTTTAAGTGTAGAGAAATAAACAGAAATAAGGAAACAAGAAGCAAGATTAACTATGACTATTCAGCTATTGTAGGTTGTACAACTAGAAGTGGACCTGATATGTTAAGAGCATTCTGTCTTAGAGAATTTATGAGAGAAAAGTTGGAAAATGATACTTAAAATACCCAAATATTCTAACAAAACTCTTTAACCCTGACATGCCTAGTAGAATAGCTAAAGTTAAAAATACTGACAATTCCTAGTGCTGATGAGGATGCACAGTAACTAGATCTCTCACATACTGTTGGTAAAAATGTACAGTAATGTCACAATGGCAAACAGCTTGATAGATTCTTATAAAGCTAATCACGTGCTTACCACATGACCCAGAAGTTCCACTCCTAGATCTTTACCCAGAAGTAATGAAAACATGTCCACAAATATTTCTACAGGAGCGTTTATACAGTTTGACTTCATAACATGTCCAAACTGGACATAGCTCCTATATTCTTGGAAAAGTGAATGGTTAAATAAACTATGGCACAACCATACCAAGGAATACTGCTTAGCAATAAAAAGCAATGAACTGCTGAAATATGCAAAAACATAGATGTCTCATGCATGTATTACGCTAAATGAAAGAAGTCAGATTCAAAAAGCTATGTATTTTATGATTTCATTTATATAAATGACGTGCTAGAAAAGGTAAAACTTTAGGGACAGAATACAAATCGGTGGTTGCCAAGGTCCAGGATCAGGAAGGGAACTGATTGTAAAGAGGCATAAGGGAACTTTTGGGGCATACTAAAAAAATACTGTTTCTTCTTCCTTTCTCCCTCTCTCCCTCTTCTTCTTCCTCTTCCTGTTCCCCTTTCCCTTCTCTTCTTCCTCCTTCTCCTTTTTCTTTCTTCCTTCTTTTGGTCTTGCAGTACTAGAGATTTAAGCCAAGCACTCGGAACTGAGTTATATCACCAGCCATTTTGTTTGTTGTTTGAGACTGGCTCTTGCTAAATCACCTAAATTGAACTTGAACTCTTCCTGCTTCAGCCTCTCAAAATACTGTGATTAAAGGAGTGTATCAGCACACTTAGCTAATATTCTATATAACAACTGGAGTAGTGGCTACAAAATTGCAAACATCTGCTAAAATACTTCTACTTCGATACTTAAAAAGGGCAAATTTTGTTGTATGTAAATTACATTTCAGCAAATTTAACTGTTTAAAAATATGAAATGCAGTGACTTCTAATGAAAACAATCTGAAAAATTCTATGACCTCAAAGTAACGGCTTATTCAATAAATGGCACTAAGAAAACCGGCCAACTGTTTGAAAAACAAATTTAACTCCTACCTCATATGTTACACAAATAAATCCCTGATGAATTAAAGACCTAAATGTAAAAAATGCAATTAAGTAAGTAAAATATATATATGGCTAATAATTATATATATATACATATATATATATATATATATATATATATATGAAATGGAAAAGGCTTTCTATACATAAAAATAAAGGAATTTTTAGTATAGAAAACGTGAAACATTTTGTACATCATTAGTCACTCTAAATACAACAAAAAGGCAAAAATGGATAAACCAAAGGATTAATATATGACATACAAAAAACTATACAAACCACAAAGAACAAAATGAATATTATGGGAGGAAACAGAATACAAGAATTTCACAAAATAATTTTTAAGTCAATATTCCTTAAAAAACATTAAACCTGATATATGAAATTAAGATGCCCTTTTCTCATCTATCAATTTGGCAAGTTTGTTTAAATTAGATAATTCAAAGTTGGTTAAAGTGTGGCCAACCATTTGGATGTACTATTGGCAACTGTATAAACTCATACAACCTAATTCTCATCTATCCTTCTTATTAAAAAATGTGATTTTGTATATTCTAATGCTCCTATTTTCTTAGCATGAAAAAATCATCCTCTACATAGGTAACCTGGTATTCCATTTACTGCATACATTATATATATATATATATATATATATATATTTACACATCATTAAAATAGGTTGACCCCATTTTCTTTATCCGCTACATAATATTTCATTGCATGACTGTGCCGTAACTTATTTAGCCAGTATCTTCATTGAAATTTAACTTGCACAATCTCTTGCAATGACAATTTTTCAATACCAATCAAATAGTTTAAAACAAGGCTGAGTTTAAAGCATAGCTCAGTGGTAGAGCACTTGTCTTTTGTGAGTAAGGCTCTGAGTTCACCATGGAAATAAAGGCCCTCAGCATCATGCAAAAAAATGAATGAAGAAAAAGCAGATACAAAAACTGTGAAATGAGTCAGAGACTGTATAAAAACAGGTGACAGGATTTTATCCATGCTATGTTGTTTGCAGAGAAATTCTGGAAGGAAGTTAATGGAGACAGAATAGATTTTGAATCTCTCCAAATGTCACTATTTTAAAAAATGTGAATAGAAAAGATAAGTAGAACAAGTAGAAAAGCAAAACCAAAATTCCCTGACACAATGTAAACTAAACTGTATGAAAATGATCCCCCCATGAATCCCAAAATAACAGTAGGTAAGAACAAACCAGAGATACTTACAGACTCAAAATGGTTTCAGCTGGGGAAGAGTACACAGAAGGCATCAACATAGCATTTGAGAGATCCGGGAATGTTAAAGTAATTTTCTCAAATGAAAGTGAAGTAATTTGTGAATAAGAGCAGCAAATGGGAGGGATTTGCTGCTTCAAACAGTGGTTGAGTGAAGAGTCCATGGTCTACACTGGGAATAACTTAAGCTCCCATGAACACTCACGGTGAATCATCCTGAGCTTCTTTGCAGGGCAAAACTGCACTCAGGAGAAACTAGTAGAAATGGACTTCAAATTGTCCAGGAATGAGAGATAAGAAAAACAAACCAAAAAAAAGGAAGTACAGATAAATGTAGAAGAAAGATGGGTGGAAGGAAGGAAGGAAGGAAGGAAAGAAGGAAGGAGAAAATCAAAACCAACAAAATAATTAAACATTATTAAAAAGAAACAGAAAAAGTAGAGGAGGCAGACAGGCAGGGCAAGTATATTTCAGAGAGGAATTACTCTAACTTTCAACTATCCTCGAAAGTATTAGAAAAATATCTAATCCAAATCAAGCTTCCTTCTAAAACTTTAGGAAGATAATTTCATGTAAAACTGAGCAACAGAATAATACCCTTGCAGAATTAAAACATGCCTGAAACAGACGTCCAAGAAAAAAATCAATGAATATTACAATCTAACATTTCAAAACTAGCTCAACTACTTTAAAAAGTTACATGATATGAAAAATTGCAAACCGTATGGAAGAAATATAAAAAGCCAGAATAACAAATGAAATAACAAATCGTAGGAAAGAATTAAAAGTAAAAGAAAATAATTATTTTATTTCCAAAATGAAGACTAAGCTAGAAGGAGCATAAGGCAAACACACCAGGTAATCAGACAGTACCTTAAGAGGAACAGAAGATGAAAGGTAGGATTTTTAAATCAAAAAGCCATGACAAATATAGAAGACAAAAAAAGAAAAAAGGGAATACAATTAGTTGAGTATCCCTTATCCAAAATTATTAAGGCCACAGTTTGGGGGATTCAGAAGTTTGTTTTTTTTTTTTTTGAGATTTTGGAGTATTTGCATACATATCATTGATGCACTATCTCTGGGATCAAAGTCTAAACACAAAATTAACTTATTTTGCTTATACCCATATCCTGTGAGTAATTTTATACAACACACTAAATAATTTTGTGCATAAAACGAAGTTTTATTGTGTGGAATTTTCCATTTGTAGCATCATGTTGGTGCTTAGAATGTTTCCAATTTTGGAATAGCATGGGTTCGGCATTTTCAGATTAGAAGTGCTCAACCTGTACTTCAGAAAGTCAAGTAGAATGACCAATACCACCAAGATGTATTTTGGAAACTTATTATATTTTACAGAAAGAAAAACCATTTAACAAGCAGACAAAAAGATGAAGTGTTTTAATAAAGAAAATCATATTTTCAGTTTTCTTTGATGATATTTTATGCCAAAAGAAAATGGATGACAGGACATATGATTTTGATAGC